GTCGTCACTAATATGCGAGTCACTATTTCATTAGTGACTATTTTTTAGATGTCACAAATAAAATATTTATTGTGATAAAAATATCGTCACTAGTACTCATACACAATAATGACAAACTCATGTTGTCACAAGTATACGAGACTATATAGTGATAATTTAATCGTCACTACTAAAAATTAATAATGATAATAATAATAATAATAATAATAATAATAATAATAACAAAGTATTATTATTATTATTGCTATTAAATGTCAATTTTTTGTCACTGATTATTAATTTTAATCGATAGAATTTTATGACTATTTTTTTTATAATAATTTATATTGTTTGATTATCACTATTTATTTAATTTAAAAATAATGCATTCGTCACTTTTTTAAATGTTAAAATGAAAATGAATTAAAATAAATACATAATTAAATAATTCAAATATAACATTAATATATATATATAATGCAGTGCATGTACAATAATTAACTAAAACACAAAAATATTTATTAGAGTAAATGCGTTGGTATTGGACACAAGTTAAAATACTAAATCACTAAATATAAATGAACCATTACATGTTTAATAACAAAAATTGAAACATAATACCAACAACATTTTAAATCTCAAATACCGTATATTAAACTATTACAACTACTAACATTTCATAAATTTTAAATTAAATAGACTACTCTCTAAGTAAAAAGGCAACATCTTCATGAATTTCCAGTCCTGCAAATAAATATAAGTAAAAATAATAAATATGTGGAAAAATAAAATAATTGGTGTTTTTTTTAAATGTAATCATATATAAAATTTATTATAAAATATTAATTAATAAAAGATTTCAAAAAAAAACTTACATTTTTAACTTAAGCACTTGAGTCAGTAGAGTCTACAGCATCACATTTCTCTCAACAAGTTAGCTATTTGATGCTTCACTTCATTCTCAACATTTTGCTTCATTTGCTCTTGTTGAGCAATTCAATTTGTAGTTAAATATTGGTCTCCTCTTGCTTTTTAGTAATATCAGTCAATTTTTGCACTTCTAAATCTAAATTATTTGCTCGATTTTGAGCATTCTCAAGTTAATTTTGAAGAAATTGTTTTTGTGAAAATTTCTTAGTTATTCCTGAACTGCCAACACCTATAGAGTGATTTGGTTTTCTTCCTAAAACAATGGCAAAGTGTTCCACCAATGGTACAGGGGCCTTTGAAATATTTTTCTGATATGTATCACTTACATTCTTCAAATCTTCCTATAAAAAATATAAAAAAAATATGATGTCATTAAAAGTTTCACTATACTAGTTCACAAATAGATATTAAAAAATTGCATAAAAGATTATTACTAACTATCAACACATAAAGAAAATTGCAACTATATATAATATGTCACATACAACATATATAATTAATGTTTTTATATTTAATAACAACATAAATTCTATAAAATATCTTTTTAGTTACCATAATTTGTTCTCCATTTGGAATGCACCAAGTCCCATTAGATCTCATACGTGTTGCTTTCCAAACTTCCATAGCGTTTGGTCATTCATCAACTTTGGATTCTTGTTTTTATTAAAATAAAATAATAAAATAATACAAGTAAATTAATGATTAAATTATCAAAAATAAAATTAATTTAGTGTTGAATAACTTTATAAATTTGCAAACCTTACATTTATTGATATCTTATTCTATATGAAAATAAAAAGGGAAACTGTTTTATATAATTTACAAAGAATTTTACATGAAACATTACCATTTCAAATGCCTTTTGCACAATTGATTTTGTTCCGGTAATTGATTTCATCTCTTGCTTGCTTCGATTAACTTTATTTTTTAAGCTCCTTTCCTGCATATGAATAAAAATTATTTATAATCATATAAATATAAAATTATAACAAATAAATTTAAACTCAAAATATTTAAGTAATTTTACCTGAAATTTTAAATCACTCCACTTATTATTGATTAACCAATTCCAATCATCAGGAGATACATTTTTTGGCCTTCCCTTCTTTTTGAGATATAGTTGATGTAAATGATAAAGCTTATTTTTGTATTGAGATTGAATTTGCTTCATTGCATATTCCTTAACCTCATCAGATAAACTTAATGCATCCTATGTCACATGAATATTATAAGAGAAACATAAACAAAACATTATCAAATGAAGTTTAAAAATATAAATTATGTTGAATGAAAGCAATAATCATACTAACCTTTATATGTTTCCACATTTCATCTACATCATCTTTAGCTATTTCACTCCAACTATTAACTTGCAAAGGAGCTTTCTGGCGTATACAAACTTGTGCCTCTGACTTAAAATATTTTGCATGTTTTCCACATATCTTATAAAATGGTGGAGGAAATTGAATGTCAATATTTTTTCCTTTTGCCATAAGCCTTTTTTTTTCTTTTTAAATTTTGCATTAATTGTATGTCCACGTCCTTTCCTTATGGCATGATCACCTAAAATAAATAAGATAAATTAATAATATTTTATACTAATAATATTTTATTTTTTCCTAAAAAAGTGTCATAAAAGTACTTGAATTAGATTCAACTTGTTCTACATTCATAGTTTCTGAGGCATGAGCTGTCCTATTGAGTTGAGACTCATTCACTTGTTTTTCAACTTGTGTAAATGGACCATTAGAGACTTTTAGAATTCAATCTCAATGGTCTTATCACCTACCAATTAGAATAATTAATTATAAAAATTAAAGGTAAATACAAATTACATTATTAAATAAGTAAAAAAGAATGCCAAAATCAAATTGATGAATTGTCTGTGCATTTCAAATATCAATCCAAAATGATAAGATTTGTCTAAAATTGGTGTTCTCTAAGAACTACAAAGTGACTATCCATACAAAGGTTTTTAAAAAAATTTGTATGAGCATATAAGATTATGAGACACCATACTTTGTTGAAAGACTATCATCAATAACTTGTAAAACTATAAATTTTAGGGATTAGTAATATTTGATAAGAAAAGTTTTTCCTAAATGCATATGTTATTGACTTAAATGATTAACAAACTAAATTACTCTAATACAATATCTACTATAATTCGATAACAAAATAATGCATAATAGAATTACAATGAAAAAAAAATTATAAAAAATTATTAAAAAAAAATAATGCATATTAGAATTTCACCCCTTTTGTCTCCATTGAGAGTGCTGAAATATTAATTCAAGACATCTCAACAACTTATTGAACAACTTGTTGTGCACCAGGGGTTACGACACACATACACATGTCTCTAAATTGGTGAGATATTGTCCATTTTGGGCCCAGCCCTCATGGTTTTGCTTTTGGACATCATTCAAAAGCCCTCTCAACCAGTGGAAAATAACTATTATTTAGGGTTTAGGGTTTAAATAAAAACAAACATACACATGTCTCCAAATTGGTGAGATATTATCCGCTTTGGGCAGACATCATTCAAAAGGCCTCTCAACCAATAGAGATAACTGTTATTTAAGGTTTAGGGTTTAAATAACAGTAAAAATAGTAACGGACAAAATATAAATTCAAGACATCTCAACAACTTGTTGTGCACCGTGGGTTACTACACACATACACATGTCTCTATAAGGCCTCTCAACCAATGGAGACAACTATGAATATATAAAATCATGTTCATCCTCTTGTTTGAACGATGTGAGACTTTGCTTGTATCCCAACAAGGGCAAAGAGTTAAGAGAGATACTGGAGGTGGGGCGAACGAGGGGAGTGTTGACACATAATAACGGTTTTAATTATTATCTATGACAGCAAGAGTGTGTTTAACAAATTATGTATTGAATCATTATCTCTATTCTATCTAACTTTCTTCAAATTAACCCAAATAGATAGTCACAATCCAGAGAAGATTTTTGTGGGCTGGTAATAAAGGAAGTGAAAAAATGGCATGCGTGAATTGGGATAAAATTAGGGGAACAAAGAGTAATGGTGAATTGGGTATAAAAAATGTCACAAAATTCAATGTATGTCTACTGGCAAAATGGAGGTACAACTTATTCCATCAAGAGGACACACATTATGGGGGAGATGTTATAATGTATTTATTTACGAATTAAGATGGGATGTTTTGGTTAGCTCACGTATTGTATCTATATATCTGTATCTGTAATTTTTCCACGGTTAAAATTAGAATGTTCAAAAACAGATTAATCTTCGGATATTGATGTTGTGTATTCTTCGTTTTCTTCGTCGACCTCTCCCAATTTGGAACTCTCAATCAAATATAACTGAAGAAAATCTATCTTAGCAATGTTGTACTCCACCAGAACATAACTGACATCTTCAGTTCTATGCACCTGCAGGGACCGCGCCCCATTAAACAGACTCATAATAACCATATCAGACAACGGTGTTGCCCTCTAGGCGAAATTCTTCAAATCTTTCAGTGAAAACTCCACTAGGACAGGCTCATTCATCTCTATCACGGTAACTCCTTCAGGCTAAAACATTAAAACCAAAACATTATGATCATGAAACGTGATGAAAACTCGACATAACAAGGTATAGTTTCTCACCTTTTTCACACAAGTTTTCATCTCTATGTCCGTAACTTCATCTTGACCATTTCCAGTTTCAACAAATCCATTGGTAAAAAATTCAGCATTCTCTTTAGTCACCAACAACTTCAAGATACACCACAAGACAATCATTGATGAGCATAACCTTTTAAACAAAAATAAACACTAACAAATCCAAAGCAAAACTAATTACCTTTAGAAGCATAAGTGCTCAAGAGATCCCTATAGATTCTAACAAATTCATAAGATGGCATCTTTACAATGGATTGACACTCTACCATCGAAAGAGTAATCCCGACGTCCCATTCATTTTTCGTATTCACCAGCCTCATTTTAAAATCATAAATCTTGTTTTGTCCAACAAATAGGTCACATAACTTAAAATTGCATAAATGATACAACATCAATTCAGTTAGAGAAAACTTAAACTTTCTAGGACTTCTATACGTAAAAGTGGCAACGTCCCTGTCGTTATCATCTGTAATGATAAGAATATCATCCATGGCAATTTCATGAGAGGGAATTTTCTCAGAAGAGTCATCCTCATCAGAGCTACTATCATCATCCTCATAAAAGTTACGTTTATGTTTTTTATCATCAATATCATTAACACATTTCTTGAGCTCATTTTCCAAGTCGTAGAAGTCTACGGTAATGGAGATGTGTCTCTCACAGTAAAAGAGTAGAATTTCAAATTCTCTCAAAAAAGTAAGAATTTGAAATTCTTCATATTTTTTTTCTTCTTATTTCACTTATCACATTAACATAATGAACAACTTTTATAATAATTTTCTCTCCCTAAAATATCATAAATATTAGTTATAAAAACTATTATTTATATTGTTAATACAAGAAATGTAATTAAACATAAATTTATATAAAAGTATTAATATTTTTATGTAAATATTTTAAAGTAAAATATTCAAAATTTCTAAACCAAAACATTTTCATCTAAAATAATATTCTTATAAAATAAAACCAATAATACATTAATATTGTAAACTATAATAACATCTTAATACATTAATTACATTAATTATTAATTATTTCAGTTTTAAATTATTTTTAAATATATATATATATATAAAATATAACATTAGTAAATATACAAGAAATAACTTCTTCTGCAATTATTTTTCTTAAAAATTCATTAGTTACATTAATTTTAAATTATTATAGTTTTTAAAGTAAAAACAATTATAAAATTTACAT